TATAAAATTAAAGATGAATCATAAGCTTATTATTTTACTTAGTTTCTAAATGCTTTCAAACCAGTTAAATGAAAAGTTAATATCTGGGTATTAACTGCTTTTACATTTTTTATTACTAAATAAAAGCCTTGGCTAGTACTTACAGGGGCTTTTCTAAGAAAGCCTGCTGTTGTTCAGTTGAACTGGTCACAGCCTTTCCAGTGACCTGTGTGGGGTTGTTCCTCTTCCCTCCATTTTACATCCCTTGTTCCCACCCAGTGACCTTCTCCCCATTCCAGACCACAGGCTTTCTCTGACTTTGAACTGTTCATTGTGTATTTTCTATTTAGCAAGACCTATGAAGAAAGGAATTTCTTTACAAAGAAAGTTTCCCAGGTTCGTACTACATAGAAGATTATGTAGTGTAAAATCCAGGGAAATGATCAAAAATAAAATTTTCCTGAATATGCTGTTTACATGCAAAGAGGGGGAAAAATTCATAAGAAGAGTAAAAGATTACAGTTGACCCTTGAACCACTGGGAATTAGGAGTGCCAACCCTTGTGTAGTCAAAAATCCTCGTACAACTTTTGACTTTCTCAAAACTTAACTACCTGACTACTTAACTACTAATAGCCTACTACTAGGAAGGTTACTTAACTGCATATTTGTGTATTTATTTTAAAAAATCTGTGTATAAGTGGACCCATGNAGTAAAAGATTACAGTTGACCCTTGAACCACTGGGAATTAGGAGTGCCAACCCTTGTGTAGCCAAAAATCCTCGTACAACTTTTGACTTTCTCAAAACTTAACTACCTGACTACTTAACTACTAATAGCCTACTACTAGGAGGGTTACTTAACTGCATATTTGTGTATTTATTTTAAAAAATCTGTGTATAAGTGGACCCATGCAGTTCAAACCTGTGTGTTCAAGAGTCAACTGTACTTTCAAAATGCATTTCTGAATGAAAACAAATAGTAATGTTTTATCCTTCGTAATTTGACAATGATTCTTTTTTATTTTTTATTAGCAGCTGCATATATTTGTACATCCTATTTCACTAATGAAATGGCATTGTGAGGATCTGTTTGAAATGTAATGGTGTAACTAATAGTTGAGATGGGCCATTCGAAATTCCCATTTTCTCATTAATAATTTTTTACATGAAGTTGCTTATAGAATAAAAGTATTTCAAATGTTTATTTAATAGCTATAAACCAAGCCTTTAAAAATTATAAATTTTTTGGGCCGGCCCGGTGGC